TCGACAGCTGCGTTCCTGGGCCAGATGTGAGAAGTGTAACCGGCTGGATCGCATCCACTGCGTGGTACAAAGCAACCAGATTTAACAATGATAATCGTTGATTCGATGCGCTTTCAATCCGCAACACATTTATGCACACATTCGATACGGTCTCACACCGAAACACATTTATGCAGACATTTGTGCGCAGCATATTGTGTCATTATGCACGAGAAAAGCTGCGCCATAAATTTGCACGAACTTAAATTTCACAGCCTAGTTAGGAGCTTCGAGTTTTTGGCCAAAATCCCCATGTGTACGCCTCCGATCGAGCACAGAGCCCAGACCAAATGTTCAGCTTTGGCCACGAGAGTGTGTACCTCGTGAAGGGCATGCATCAGACCACACGGGCAGGCACCGATATTGTTAGCGATTGGGAGACAGTTATGGCGCGGGGTAACTAGCCTGAGGGCGGGCCTTTCTCGAGATGAGGATCATGAGATCAGAGGGGCGGTGGTCCATGTTATGGCGCGGAGTAACCAGACCGAGGTTGGGCCTCTCTCGGGACAAGGATCATGAGATCAGAGGGGCGGTGGTCCATGTTATGGCGCGGGGTAACTAGCCTGAGTGCGGGCTTCTCTCGAGACAAGGCTCGTGGGATCAGGTGGTCCATGTTATGCCATGGAAGGCTGATCGCAGAACCAGGTCGCTCAAACGTCGGATTGCGGCAGCCTTGAGCCGCCGATCCGAGATATGCTAATCATGCCTCACACATGTCCCGGGGTGTAGAATTCGTGCATGTCATGTGATGCATGACAAGCAGGATAGCCTCCGCCGAGCATTTGAAGAAGCCATGATATTTACGGAATCTAACGATTACCAAATACCATGTTTCGGGCCGCTCCCTCCCCGACCGTGTTGTCCAGTTTCGGGCTGCTCCCTTCCCGACCGTGTTGTCCAGTTTCGGGCTGCTCCCTCTCTGATCGTGTTGTCCAGTTTCGGGCTGCTCCCTCCACGACCGTGTTGTCCAGTTTGGCACCCGAGTCGATAGCGATGAGCGCAAGTAAGCATGCCCGCGTGGGTCCTTCGGACGTAATAAGCCGACGCCGATACCCGCACGTCGATGAGGGAGCCGTGTTCGGGCGGGAGCAGTCGCTGCCAGGGCCACGCTCGTCTGAAGGCTGAGGGGAGTCCCGTCACCAGCCGATCCCATCACCAGCCGGTCCCGTCACCAGCCAGTCCCGTCACCAGCCGGTCCCGTCACCAACCGGTCTCGTCACCAACCGGTCCCGTCACCAGTCGGTCCCGTCACCAGCCAGTCCCGTCACCAGCCGGTCCCGTCACCAACCGGTCTCGTCACTAGCTGGTCCCGTTGGCCCGGCAGCTGCGGTAGCTGCCGGGTCCGCCGCCCGGCAGCTGCAGCGGTTGCCGGGTCCGCCGCCCGCCGGGCCGGGCTGTCCACTGCTGACTCCAGGCGCTGACGGTGCCGTCTCTGCTCGGGGTCGGCCCGCTGTGTGCACCGTCCGGTCGCGGAGAGGGCGGTCAGGTCCCGGCTGCCGGCTCTCAGTGGCTGCCAGCGGCGTCAGAGAGATGTCGCGAACCATCCGTGTGTCGACGCCGAGGCTGCACCAGATTTTTGGACACCGATTCCGATTCCGATTGTGACCCGGCTCGATTAGGACGTCGACCGCGCTCTGACGTCGACATGAATCTTAGTTTCCGCTCAGATTCCGGCGCGGACTTGCGCCTCCGGTTCCGGTCCCGTTTCCGTGGCGTGGTCGGAGACGCGGCCCTGGCGGTGACCGGGCGGGCGCACGAGCCGGCGGCCGACCCGGCCCGGAGAGGCCGGGAGACATCCGAGCCCGGCCTTCCGTCCGAGCCAGGCTCCCGCCGAGGGTGGCGGTGTGCCGGGCCGCCTCGCTGGAGCGGCTCGGATTGTTTTGGGTCGGGCTGGCGGCGCCTGGCCGACTCCAGCCGCCTGATGTCATCGGCCGTGTTTGGACGAGGCTCACTCGGCGGGCTCGTGGGCGCCCCACCAGCCGGCAATGCCGGGCGAGCTCCGCCAGTGACGCTGCGGAGCGCATCTGGCGATGTAGCGCGCCCGGGTTAGGCCTGGCCGCCGCCGCAGAGCTGAGCTGGAGGGGAGGGGCGCTCTTCGGTGCGGCTGACGCGGCTGCACAGCTGATGTCAACATCGCTGTTCATGACTGGTGCAGGCGCAACCAATATATGGGTGCTTGTAGCTGCCGTGATCAACCAGCGACACATAGGCTGCTGGTGCAATCAATGTGCGTCATTCGGCGCTAATAAACACTGCAGAACACTACACTTGAACACTGTGTGTAGCGTGTGCAGTTCTGCGAGGCTTCTGAGAGCGTCATCGGGTGAGTCCTGCCATATTGGATTGTTGTATAAGTGAGCAAAGGTGGCAATCTACGCACATTATCCTAAGATTCTTGGCAGGACGGAGGGCGTCATATGACCGACCTGTAGCATTAGACCAATTTATGATGACCCATTAAGGCTATTGCGTTGTCCAGACTTGTAACATGCACAGTGCTTTCCGTTTAATGTGTTACGTCTTCTCCCTTTGGGCCAAAAGTTGATTTTGTTTTCACGTCGTGATTTAGCATTCCCAGATCGGCTGCTGCATGTTCCATACTGATGCTTGTCCGCCAGCGATCGTGCTGTTATGACCCCAGCACTGCCTCCGGGCAGGCAGAGTACGTGTGCCGCGGCTGAGCCGGGCTGGGCTGCAGCCGGCCCCAACTCCGTCCGATGGGCCTCTGATAGAGGCGAGAACAGATGGCTGCCGTTTGGCGATGGCTGGGGTCGTAAATCCCCCCCTCCCCCACCTCCCTGAACTTGGCGCTCGTCCGCGCTCAAACGCGCCCCCTTTGCCGACCGAAGGCGTCAGATGAGCAACCGGCCGCCTTCAAAGCCCCGGACGAGTCTTGCAGTCACATTAAGGGGAGAGTCCGATTGGGCTCTCTTTAAACACGGCTCTCTTGATCTGCTCCTTTCACATCGGCGTCCGCGCTTTCCTCTCACGCCATCCCTGCCCATGGCTGGCACCTGTGTTTTCGAGATTCCTGCAGCCGGTCTTGAGAGCCAGCCGTCGCGTAGTGGATCGAGCAGTAGCGGGTTTTGGCGTGGCATGCACACAGAGCGCGGCGAGACACGTCTGTAGGCGGTGCAGGGGCAGGGGTGTTGGTGGAAAATCAATACTGAGGCGCTGCCCGGGATGGCTACTGCAGTATTCTTGCATGTACTCGGCAGGAACACCGCGAACTAAGGCGTGACAGGTAATACATCTCTGAAATCTGTTTTGCAAGGCGTGGCATGTGAGCAGTTCCTCTGAGCCGAATGTTAGAAATGTGTCGTGTCAACAGGAAGCACCACCTCTAGTGGCTAGTGCCTGATTGTCGGTAGCTATTGGCGTGTTTGGCTGGCTTTGGAGGGGCGTTTACGTATCCACATTGCTCCGCTGGAGCGCGTCAGTACTCCTGTGGAGCACTTGCACGCTCTTGTGGCACGCTTGCACACCCCAGAGGAGCACACGCGCTCCTGAGGAGCGCCCCACACCCCTTCAGACGGCTCCGCACTGTCGCGGAACACTCCCACACTCCTCAGATGCCGCCATCCACTTCTGAGGAGCGCCCGCTGCCGGCCTGCTGCGGGCCGCTGGTCGCCGTGGCGCGCCCGGTGGCGGCTGCCCGCCAAACTCGGCCGTTTTTGCTTCCGAGCTGAGGACAGCACGCCGCCGGTCCAGCCGCGCCAGATCGCACGATAGGGCACGCCGTGACTTGGCGGCACGGTCCGACGCGGCACGGTCCAGCGTGACCCCTCCGCTCGCGCGGCGACCGCCCGCGGACCGCTGGCACGAGCCGTGGGGCAGGGGACGGGCCTGCCGCGGCGGCCGCCGCGCCGGTCGATGCCCCGGGGCGCCGACCCCAGGTGTTGTCGGTGACCTCGTGCGCCGCGGCTGATGTACTGGCGGACCGGCAGGCCGCCCGAGAGCGGATGCTTTTGCCGGGTGTGGATCAGTGTTGTGACAGGGGCTGGTAGTGGACGTGGCAATACGGCTGCGGATGACGTGCCTAACTCCAATCAATACTTGTGACGTGTGCTTTGTTTCTAGGGCTACCATTTCAGCAGTGGATAGACGTGCCCTTCGCACGTGTATCGTTAAACACGTGATGCCGATCCATGTCGGGTCGCCGGTGTATTCCTGGCCGTGATCGCCAGTCGGCCTGTTGGGCACCTCGGTCCCCGGTCACCCTCCTACATATCGGCACGTGGCATCGCCGCGGACTTCTTAACTGACGCCTGCATTTCGTCCCAAGGCCATCACCCGAGCTGTCTATCTGGCCGTCCCCTGCCGCTGCTCTAATCGCCTCCTGCTGCCCCTCTGACTGTCCCCTGCCCCCCCCCCCCCCCCCCCCCTCTGGTCGTTCCTTTCCGCCCCTTTGACAGTTCCCTGACAGCCCTTTGACCGTTGCCTACCGCCTTCTCATAAGTGCTTGGACGTAAGTGCTGCGCTTCTCTGATCGTTCCCTGCCGTCCCCTCTTACCATTCCCTGTCGCCCCTCTGACCATTTCCTGCCGCCCTTTCTTACCATTCTCCCTTCCTCCTCTGTCTGTTCCCTTCCATCCCTCTGACCGTCCCCAGCCGCATCTCTGACCGTTTTCCCTGTCGCATCTCTGACCGTCCCCTGCCGCATCTCTGACCGTTTTTCCTGCCGCATCTCTGACCGTCCCCTGCCGCATCTCTAACCGTCCCCTGCTGCATCTCTGACCGTTTTCCCTGTCGCATCTCTGACCGTCCCCAGCCGCATCTCTGACCGTTTTCCCTGTCGCATCTCTGACCGTCCCCTGCCGCATCTCTGACCGTCCCCTGCTGCATCTCTGACCGTTTTCCCTGTCGCATCTCTGACCGTCCCCTGCCGCATCTCTGACCGTTTTTCCTGCCGCATCTCTGACCGTCCCCTGCCGCATCTCTGACCGTTTTCTCTGCCGCAGAGGGGCGCGCCCGGCCTGGAGACGATCCTGCAGGAGATGCGGGTGCCGCTAGCGGCGCCAGTGACGCCGCTCAAGACGCACCTCATGCCGTTTCCGTTCCCCTCGGTCAAGGTGAGTGTGGGCTAAAGGTCGGTGGTGTGTCGGGGTCAGCGCCAGGTCGAAGTCGGTAGCTGGTGGCTCCACGACATTAATGCTGCAACAAAACCCCTGCCGACAGGAATACTACGACATTAGTTCTACTACCAATACACATGCACGACAAAAGTGCTGCGTGACAAACGTTAGTCTACAAACACGTACGTCCGTCATTACTCCTGCTGCAATCGTTTGTACAGTCATTACTTACACACGACGTTACTTTGTTGCAAAAACTACGCGCGTCATCAGTGCTGCACGACGAAACTTTTCCTCAAAAATCGTCATTACTTCTACTCATCATTACTTCTGCTGCAAAAACATTAACAACCACTGCTTATGCACGGCATAGCTTCTACTGCAAATACTTGAAATACGCGACATTATTACTACCGCATGACTGGTATTCAGGTCCTTGCTGTAGAAGTAATGACTGGTATATCTTTTTGCAGTATAAGGTTTGTCGTGTAGTACTCATGTCGTGTGTGAGTTTTTGCAGTAGACGTGACACTGCGCATGAGTTAAGACTGTGTAAGTAATGACGAGTTCAAGTTTTTGCAGTATAAGTTTGTCGCGTAGCACTCATGTGTATAGGTCATTGCAGTAGAAGTAGTGTCACGTAAAACTGATGTCGTGGCCCTCCTGTCGGTAGGAGTTTTAGCCATCGCACTAATGTCGTGCCGCCACCGCGGGCTCAGGTAAGCAGCAGGTACAGGTCAGCGGCGGATAGCGACCAGGGTCAAGCTGACTGACAGGTCACTTGCGGACCGGAGTCAGACTGGTGGTGAGGCTGGCATCGGCGGTGGAGGGCAGATCGATACTCATACACTGACGATGTCGTGCTGGGTCGCTCCCCTGCAGCTCATGAAGTCAACTCTGTCGCCGGCCTCACACCGCGGGGGGGGGGGGGCTATTTAATATTCGGCGGAGCCAGCGGACCGCGGGCTGCGGAGCCGTTAGTGTCGGGGATCGGTTAGGATTTGGGGCTCGGGAGTTAACGACAAATCGGGGTATCTCGTCATTCTCCAGGGAATATGCATGGGCAGTAAATGGATGTGGCACGTGTTCACCGCTAGATGCGCTAGCACATGATTTGCCGTTCATTAGTATGGCCTAATGGTCAGCTGATACAACGTGTGAATTTAATCACTTGAATCATCTGCGAGTATCTCGTTGCGTGTGTTGTATCGCTGTATTATGATCCGAAGGCGTAATATTCTTGCTGGGAGTATTTCGGCAATGTATCGTTATTTCCATCCGTTGCGTGCCTGTGATAAATCGCGCGGTGATGGCTGTGAGAATTAAGTTATGAAATACTAAATCAACACTTCGCTACTAGTATTAATTAGCCTTCTGCAAACCAGACGTCTGCCAACCTGGCGGCAACTCGGCTTTATGGGACCGCTGCCCGCCATATCAGCGGTACCGTTATCATAAGCCAACTGATCACGCCCTTGTTTGCTGCTGATGCCTTTTTGGTGTCATGTTTTGTGCATGCAGCCACTTGGAATGCACCGTTCGACGCTGTTTTTGCTGGCGCGGCGTTGGAGCGAACCGTGTCGCCATGCCCGGTGCCCTGCTCGGCGCCCTCGCCTGAGCCGCGGTACCCTTCCCTGGCGCCCTCGTCCGAGCCGCGGAGCCCTCACCGCCCTGCTCGGCGCGCTCCTCCAAACCGCGGCGCCCTCAGCACCTTGCCAGACGCCCTCCTTGAGCCGCGGCGCCCTCGCCGCCCCACTCGGCACGCTCCTCCAAACTACGGCGCCATCACCACCTTGCTCGGCGCCCTCCTACAAGCTCCGGCGCCCTCACCGCCCTGCTCGGCGCCGTCGACTGAGCCGCGGCGCCCTCGCTCGGCGCCCTCCAAAGCTGTGGCGCCCTTACCGCCCTGCTTGGCGCGCTCCTCGCCTCGCCCCGTGATCGTCAGTCAAGCGGCGCGACTCGCGGCGACCGACCGCAGCCGGCTGGACGTGGCCCCGTGACCTTGCCGTGGCGTGCTGCAGCCCCCCTCCCCCTCCCCCGCCCCCGTCAGGGCGCAGCCGTGCACGGGCCGCCGGAGTCGGGGGAGGGGGCAGCCGGGCGGTGGCTCGATCGGAGCGAGACGGTGTCGATGCTGGCATGCAGCTGGGCTGCCGCGTGGTCCCGGCCGCAGACCCTGGCAGGCTAGCCGCGCAGCAGCGTCTTTGTTTGACGTTGGCTGCAGTCCGTGTTGATCACTAGCATCGCGTTCTTCGTTAGGCGCAGATCTCAGCACGGCATGGAATCCGATAAAGCACGGGCCGACGTGGTGCTGCAAGTGTGCACAAATGTGTGTGCGAAGCGGCGGCGAAGCGTGCGTCTAAGGCCACACGTGCACAAAGCGCGTGCACCGTTCGGGTCGTGCCCGGTCGTTGTATGGTTGACGGGACCGTAAAACGGACGGGGGGAGACAAGGATAAACACGCTACATCGCGTGACCCGGAAATGCGCTCCGGTGCGCTGGAGGGTCGCGACGTTTTGTGGCAAGGAAGGAGCCCTCTTGGTATTGCGATGCGATTGTACGAGATTGGTGTGAGGCCAGGCACACCGCCGGCCGCGGGGCTTATGAAGGCTGGCATTCAAAAGTGGGATCTTATCACGCGCTTAAACTGACGGAGATGTATTCAGCGTAACGGCCCGCCATAAGAAAAGGAGGTTCGCTTTGAAACGCTCGCACTGTTTGATTGTCCTCCTCCCGACGTCCAGACTGGACCCGGCTGGCCTGACGGCCGTGCTACACCGCGCGGGCCCTGAAACTGCGTCCCGCGCCGCGGTCACGCCTCTCCGGCCATAGCGCCCTGTGACGTCACGGTTCGTCCCGGTGACGTCACAGGGTTGAAGGGAGTGCCGCTGAAGCCAGCCGCCCTGTGGTTCTCGTTTTTCGGCGGAGTCGGAATGGCTTAGGCCTGGGAGCTTGGGGCACGGGCGTGGCCGTTGGTTGTCTTACCTGATCATGGGTGTCGAGGGAGCGGATGAAGAGCGATTTATCACCGTCCCCAAGCTCAGCTGTTCGGGCCGCTGTCGCCTCCCCCACGGCTAGGGAGGCAGCGCCGCGTAAAAACGGGATGGCGCCCGCCCGCCCATGTGTGTCGCGCATGCTGGCGTCTCCAGCAGCAAGTGATGGAGGGGCTGCTAGGCTCCGTTATGGGCTGCAGGTGGGGCGCGCTGGGGCCAACCATTGGCTACAGCACAGGCCCCAGTAGTGAGCCCTGCACGACTCCTTGCATCACGAACGCGGAACGAGATCGTCCCCCTCACGGTCTGTTTGAGCTGGCCCCGGACCTGGCTCCCCGCCGCGGGACTTCAGAGCTGCATGCTATCTCGGCTCCAATCCCGCAGCAAGTCATGCAGCACGCTATCAAAGGCCTTGCCGATGTCGTGGCGCGCCTGCGGGTTGTGCAGACCGCCTGGTAAGCGGTGTCACGTGGCCCTGCAACTGCACAGCCGAAGTTAATCATCGTGATTTTGTTGATAGCTGCTGCCATTCCGGGCTGTTTTGGCGGCTGGGAGAGGTCATCAGGTGTGCTGGTCACGAGAGCTGTTGAAGGGTTATGGAATCCTGTACTCAGATGTTTTAGAAGGAGTCAGTAATGTATTCATATGTACTAAATGGCCACTGGTCACTGTCGTGAAATGTGAAGCAGGGTGGCATGTCGTTGCAATTTCCAATTCAAGGCAAGGTCTATATCACTCAACATTGCGATGAAAGTTTCGTACAGAGCTGCCCTATTTTTGGGATCCTTTCCAACTTGTATGGTATGTAATGCGTAGTTGGCTAGACTTGCTCGCCAGCCCTACCTGCTCTCGGTCCGTGAGTCAGCGAGCCAAAGCCTGCCCATCCATGTCCTCGCCCAGTTCCGGGCCTGAAATCAATCAACAGTTGGGTGTACAGTTGAGCACCGAGGTCTGCATCGACCTAGGCCGTTAATTAATGCCACCGGGCCCCGCTCCCGCGACGCGACGGTCGGCTGCGGGCGGGGGCGGCGTGCGCGGTGGTGCTGCCCTCCGGCGGCGGCTGCGCGAACTGTGCCGGTGAGCGGGGCGCGGCGCGCCCGTCACCCCGGAATAGGGCTTCTGGAGCGCTTGGAAATCCGCGGTATTGATCCATACGTGGGAGAGACAGAGGGACAAACACTCAGAGACGCCGGAGGAGGGTGAGAAACGTGCCACGTGCTTTTCGTGGTTCGAGCTGAGGGCCTGATTCGACTGGAGGTGACTCGGGCCCGCTAGTGAACAGGTCGACGACGCCTGTGTTCAATCCCGCTGAGGGAGGACATGTAGGTGTTATTAGTTTAATGGTGGCCGCCGCCAGAAATGATGTAAACGATTGTGGAACAGTACAGGTTTATGGTTAACTGTCATTGCACATTCCCCACTTTGGTATTCACTTCAGCAATCAAAGTGGATTACTTTGGGCTGCTTACCATTGTTGTGTTTTAGTTTTTAAAGTTTGAGGAGGCTGAATGATTTAGTTTAGGCCAGGACTGTGACCAGGTTCTATGGGATCTTTGTTACGTTGCGACATGTGTGCATTTGACTCAGGGCATTACATCGCGTAATACCCATGGAGTCCTCGCACCGAACGCACTTTGCGAGTAACATGATAGTTTGGCGCCCGTGTCCCGGCGGCGTGTTAAGAGGTCACGTGCTGTGACCTTGCCGCGTGACGTGACGTGACGTGACACACACGTCTGACGTGGTCAGACGTGACGTGTCGCGACTGATGCACAGTCAGACGGTGCGTGCAGTAAGTCGGTGAGCGTGGTGCCCAGTTAGACGACGCCACGCGCTAGTGACTGATGCGCAGTCGGACGGCCCATGCGGTGTGTCAGTGACACGCCAGACCTCCGGCTGCAGCGTGTCAGTGACACACATGGCCCCCGGCCGTGGTGTGTCAGTAACACACATGGACACACGGAGTTTCGTGTGTGTCAGTTATTCTCGGCTGCGGTGTGTCAGTGACACACATGGACCCCCGGTTGCAGCGTGTCAATGACATACATGGACTCCCAGCCACAGTGTGTCAGTGACACGTGGACCCCCGGCGTCCAGCCGGTTGTTGTGCGCAGTGGCCCTTCCCGTGTTGACTGTGTTGTCGCGTTGCAGGATGAGCCCCCGGTCACTCCCCTTCACCGGCCAGCCGATGAACAAGGTACGTGATCCCCGGCCGGTGCCCGTCGCGAGCGCCACATGACCACGGCAGCCAACGCGCACTCATGCCCGAGTCATCGTCAGCATTAGTTGATTGTTCTTTGCGAGGCGTCGCTTTCCGTCCACCACGGATTGCGATGCGATGGCTCGCCACAGTCCGCCAGCCATTGAATAAGACCATGTAACTCAGCTGCTAACACCCATTGTCCTTGTTGCTTCGCCTTTGCCATGTATCCTGCCTTCTGTGTGTGATGCTGTTGCTCATGCGCGCGTGGCCTCGCTCTTCCTTCTCCGCACATGGTCTGCAGCGTGGCGGCGGCTCTCTGAGCTATCGCCGGCATCGCTCGGGCTGCTACACGTCTGCCGTGAGTCAAGCTGTGTCGACATGTTCCCCCCCCCCCCCCCCCTCTGGCTGACGTGCTGCAGCCCGCCTCGTGGTCCGTGGTTCTCGCTGCAGGCACAGTGTGCCGTGCGCGTGTCGGCGTGTCGCGCGGTCAGGACGCGCCACAGGGGAGGCAGGCCGGGGGATTCGACGAAGGGCCGACAATGAACGGCGACCCCGGAGGCCGTGGTTGACGGATGCTGGCGTCAGACACTGTGAGCGAAACTTCGCGGACATGCTCAATGGCCGTAACACAGGGTAAACAGATGGTCGGTTGGTAATGAATATCACGTTAGTAAACCGCCCGGCTCGACCTCACAGGGCTGAAAAGACCATACTAAGTAGCAAACGGAACATAGCAGGCGGCGGGGCAAGCATTGGACGTCTTCGATTAAAAGCACCCAATGACCTCTCCAGCTACGTTATCTGCGCGTCTAGCGCTCGGTGTCTGAGCCATCACATGTAAACACAGCTCAGCGGCGCCGACCGGGGCGGCCCGGCGGCTGCAGCGGCGCGGGCGAGCCAGCTGCAGATGCGGTGTCCCGCTGCGCGCCGGCCGGCTGGCCGCCCTGCGATGCTATCTGTCACGTCCGCCGCCGGCCACCGCCTCCCGGCCGGCTGGCAGCCCTGCGATGCTGTCTGTCACGTCCGCCGTCCGCCGCCGCCTCCCGGCCGGCTGGCCGTCCTGCGATGCTATCTGTCACGTCCGCCGCCTCCCGTCCGCCGCCTCCCGGCCGGGCTGGCCGTCATGGTTGGAGTCGGCCCGCCGCCTCCCGGCCGGCTGGCCGCCCTGCGATGCTATCTGTCACGTCCGCCGCCGGCCACCGCCTCCCGGCCGGCTGGCCGCCATGGTTGGAGTCGGCCCGCCGCCTCCCGGCCGGCTGGCCGCCCTGCGATGCTATCTGTCACGTCCGCCGCCGGCCGCCGCCTCCCGGCCGGCTGGCCGCCCTGCGATGCTATCTGTCACGTCCGCCGCCGGCCACCGCCTCCCGGCCGGCTGGCCGCCCTGCGATGCTGTCTGTCACGTCCGCCGCCGTCCGCCGCCTCCCGGCCGGCTGGCCGTCCTGCGATGCTATCTGTCACGTCCGCCGCCGTCCGCCGCCGTCCGCCGCCTCCCGGCCGGCTGGCCGCCCTGCGATGCTATCTGTCACGTCCGCCGCCTCCCGGCCGCCGCCTCCCGGCCGGCTGGCCGCCCTGCGATGCTGTCTGTCACGTCCGCCGCCGTCCGCCGCCTCCCGGCCGGCTGGCCGCCCTGCGATGCTATCTGTCACGTGCGCCGTCCGCCGCCTCCCGGGCGGCTGGCCGCCCTGCGATGCTGTCTGTCACGTCCGCCGCCGTCCGCCGCCTCCCGGCCGGCTGGCCGCCCTGCGATGCTATCTGTCACGTCCGCCGTCCGCCGCCGCCTCCCGGCCGGGCTGGCCGTCATGGTTGGAGTCGGCCCGCCGCCTCCCGGCCGGCTGGCCGCCCTGCGATGCTATCTGTCACGTCCGCCGCCTCCCGGCCGCCGCCTCCCGGCCGGCTGGCCGCCCTGCGATGCTATCTGTCACGTCCGCCGCCGGCCACCGCCTCCCGGCCGGTCATGGTTGGAGTCGGCCCGCCGCCGCCGAGTCACGAGTCATGGTCTCCCGAGTCACGCCGGGGTGGTGCAGCCGCGTGGGGGCCGCGGCGGGGCCGCGGCGGCGGCGCGCTCTGCTGCCGGCTCGGGTGTTTGTTCGAACCGCGCCTTATCCCCTGGGGTCACGACACTCGCCTGATCTCCGCATACTTTATGCCTGCGTCTGGCGAAACCCGCGCGGCGTTCGAGTTTCGAAATGATCCGTTTCACAAACTGAGCAAAACGGCGGACACACGGCGTCTCCAAGGGGTGCAGCCTTAACCTCTTGTGAAAGTTGACATAACCTGATTCCTTCGGGGTGCGTGTCAGCCCTTGTGAAAGCTGACATGACCTGAGTCGAGTTTTTATCTGGGCGCTATTGGGCCGCAAAATGGTAAGCAGGTGACTACCACCTACCCTTGCTCGGCCAGCGGTTCAAAGGCAGTTTTAGATGTGGGAGTGGGACCGGCGGTTAAGTTTAATACTGGTTTGATTAATATGGGACTGATCAAAGATCGTTGTCAGCGTGCTAATGAAAGATATTGTGAGGCTCAAGGGTAATTTGACGAACGCTGACTTTATAAGTGAGATCAGAAGTTAGACAATTATCTTATGGAAACAGGCGAAGTCGTTGTTTGATGATGGAACCTCCGTTTAACGTTCATTAAGCCTGTTTAGTTTACCGGGGTATGTAACCAAAAAAGCAAATAGTTGAAAGGTAATCAGGGCGTTATTTTCAGAGACCGTTACAAATTCCCTGGACGCCAGCAGCACTGGAGCTCATCCGCTGAAACATGGCTCTGTGGACCCGACCCGACCCGACCTTACCCGACACGACCCGACCTGACCCGACCCGGCCCGACCGGACCCGACCCGGCCCGATCTGACCCGACCCGACCCGACCCGATCCGACCCGACCCAATCCGACCCGGATCCGACCCGACCCGATCCGACCCGACCCGATCCGACCCGGCCTGACCTGACCCGACACTACCTGATTAGTTCCGTCGTCGCCTGATCGGACCTGACTGGCATTTGCTGTGCCGCTGGTGAAGGGTTTTCAGCTGTGGGTGTGTCACCTGGCCGAAACTGGCGTTCGTAAGAGGTCACCGAGAGGAAGTGGACCTGATTTCACTCGCCCGAGTGAGCATCCCATCGAGCGAAAACGCCCCATCGAGGGCGAACGTCCCAGCAGCGCTTTAACTTAACCGGACTTTTGGTTCCAGCCACCTCCGAGGGGGCACCCAGCTGCGGGGCATGTTGACCTGACCTGACCTGACCTGAACCGTGATTTCAGCGCCTTCCGGGGAGAGCAGCCAGCCGCGGCTGGACGAGCGGCGGTGGCGCGTCCCGCCAGCCGCCGTACCGGCCAGCACCAAACCGTGAGTGTCTCGCTCCCGCCGCGGCTCACAACACCGCCGCCGTCCATCGTCTCGGGCCGAACATCGGCGTGTCCGGACATGGTGCCATCAACGTACGGAGGGAGACGGGTACAGGCGACACCGGTAAACGGTGGCACGAGACAAATCAGCTCCGTCTCTTCAGCCCCGGTCGGCGAAATGTGTAACATGAACGGACGCGGCTTGACCTCTCTGTCCAGCGGCGTCCGCCTGTTGTGCTTTCGCGACCCCGGAGACGCTGCCACGATGGGCTCCAACTGCTGTGCAGTGCCCGCCGGCCAGGGTGGGTCGGGGCTGCTCGCCCCACGTTCGGACCGCATCGAGCGTGGTGCCGGCCGTCTCCGGAGGGCAGCCTGCCGGCCGTCTCGGCACGGGAGTTGGTGTCTGGCATTGGGGCGGCCGCGGCGCGCCGGCCGCGCCTGCCGCCGGCCGGCCGCCCGCCGGCACCTCTCACTGGGTCAGGGCCGATGGCAGGGCCGGCCGCCACGGAGCCGGGCCGCGCACAGTCAAGGTCCGACTCTGCGCTCTGTCGACGGGCAGAAGAAGCGGTGGACAGTGGGCGGCCGCTCACTGTCCGGCATTGCACGGAAGCTGATCCTGTGATTGTTTCAACATACTCATGACTGTTGGATTAGTAAGACGGGAGTCTGCCGGATGTGTTGGCACTATCCGAAACATTTTATATCCCGCCTAGATAGTAAAGTCCACTGAAGAGCTGCGCGCTCTGGATTCCGTGCCGCTTAGTCCCAAGCGGCGTTTTCTCTATCATTTCTGAACCGTACCAGCCGCTGGTGTTGTGTTTCAGATCCCTGTCGGACGACTTGACACTGTCGGACGACAGCGACGAGGAGCCGCCCCGCAAGAGCGCCGCGGTCAGCGTCGAGCCGCAGAGGTCCAGCTACCGCAGGTCAGAGGCCACTGGTCCGCCGGTCCCGGG